TAAATAACTCTAATTCGTCGTATGTGTGTATCCGTATCGAAAAATGAAGTAACATGTGTATATTTTATCATTGTAGATACTCATTAAGAATTGGCAGATACAGTGACTTAAAGATCACACTGAAATTACAGTCAACCTACACAATTAGTGACTACCAGCACTTTGATAAGTATTGCAATATGGGTGGCAAGAAAAACTTCCAAATGGTATCATCTATGAATTAAAAAATAGTTGTCATTATTGCCAGAGAGAGGAAAAAGTTATAAACGGATATTATCACCATACATTAATTTTGTAGCAGTTGTGACTTTTATAAAACACTTTGTATGACATCAAAATTTGTAGATTGAAAGCAAAAGTCCACACCCAAAAATAATCAAAATCGATTAATACATATTCGAGTTATTTACAAAATTCAAAAAGTTTCCACGAAATTTGAGGTGATCTAGCGGCCAAAGCAATTTTGGATATACAGTTAAGCATTAGTCACCCATGTAAAATTGTTATTTATTGACCAAAAAAAAAGTTGAAACAAATCGGTCAATAAATAACAATTTTACATGGGTGGCTAATGCTTAAGTGGGACACACTGTAGGTGAATTACCCTAAATCTGCCTATTTTGAGTCCACGAATTTGTGGTCCGTTGTACACGTTATTTTGGGACACCCTGTATATGTATTTTGTCACATGCAGCATGTGTTATGTAAATCAATGGTCAATCGTGATCTTTTCGCTTATTGCAAAGCCTTTGAATTTTACCTTCGTTTCTTTTCTCTACAAAATCCGACACTTCATTAAAGACAATCCGATTGTAGTCGACCTCCTGGAACTGTATTTTGTTTCGTATTTCTTTGTGCTTTCAGTAAATATCCGTAGACAATCGAAAAATCAGTAAATACCACACGGTTGAAGCCAAATTCGTGAAATGCCTTGTTTGTTTGTTGGTGGGAAAAAAATACATGAAAAGAAACAAAAATAAAAAAAGTTCGTTCCACTTTTACAGAATATCATACCTAAATTTAAATTTAAATGCATGTAATTCGTATGTTTTTTTTAATAAATAAAAACGAAATTTGCAAAAAAACGACGTAGAGTACACTACCGTTTTGTGATTAGATCAGATTTTTTTCTCTTTTCAGTCGATATTTTATTCCTTAAAATATCCTCAGACAATAGAAACATAAATAAATATAAGACATTTGTAGCAAACGTCTCGAAATGTTATTGTTGTTAATAAAAAAGGAACATACATTAAAAGAAACAACAAATGTTAAAATCAACTACTTTTAGATATTTGCCTTGAAACTGTGACCAATTAAAAGATCAAAAACCATAGAATGAATTGTTTAACTCGGCCCTTATTTGCTCAATAATAAAATTAAAAAATCAATCAATCTTCATTTTCCTAAATTTTTATTATCTGTTATTTATTAGTGCGTTTTTGGAATTTCTTTGAGACATTGTTAGAATTTGTAAACATTCCTCCAAAATAAATATGACTTGCGCTGGTTGGTGAAAAAACAAATGAAATTGAAAAATAAATACACCATATTCTGGAAATAATTATTACTGATTTATATCATTTCAATATGTCCGAGGACCGAATGCTGTTATTTAATAAAACTAAATTGTCCGATAAACACTATATCAGAAGTAAACATCAAAGCATATTTATTGATTTACAGTATTTTGCAAATTAAATTTTAACGTTGAATAATTGGAAATATCCATTTCATCAGTACTGATGCTATAATTTTTAATGCTTCACTTCTGTACCAGTTTAACATTGAAATAAAATTTTATCTTACAAACTGTACCATATTTTATAAGGTTGGCACGCTTTACGTGGATAATCTAATGTAAACCAAGCCAAAAAAATATAAATTCTTAATCTGTTCTCTTTGTTCTTATACCCACCCGCTTTCTTTGATATCCCAGTGTAAATATTCTCCGAGCATACTGCTTCATGCTATTATTCAGGATTCCTGCAAAAAACTAAATTCCAGAAAATATATTCTATGCGTATCATAGAAAAAATATATTATTTTAATCTATTGAATAGAAAATGTAGTTGAGGGTTACAACAGCTAGTGAAGCGCAGAGATTTCTCTAAAATCTCGGAATAAATAGAACTGAAATTTGCAAAAGTCCACACTTTCTTCCATATTCATCGCGTACGGTTAAGTGACTAGATCAGTTTTTTCCTCTTTCAGTTCGATATTTTATTTCAGAATGTCCGCCCTCCGGTGACAAAATCAGGCATCTGAAATTCCCCATTTTAGCAATCTGTTCATCCATATTCATGTTTCAGTTGTAATATTCTGGAGTCCAATAATTCCAGCCGTGTATTTGACCCAATTCACTGCCGTACTAATATCATGGTATTTTATAACTTCGTTAAGATCATTGTTTGCTCTTTATTAATTCCAAATGTTGTAAAATGAACGGAAATATTCTACAAAATTTACTTTAAGTTATGGACCAAGCTTTTAATATTTCAGTAAATAAATTCTACGTCTAACAGACATATAAATTAAACAATACTGAGCAGGTACTTTGATTATTTTTTCTGTTTTCTAGAAATTGTAAACTTTCCAACTTCTTGTTAATAGTATATTTTCTTTTAGATGTAGTAAACTTCATCAACATCAAAACAAGGCTTTTCATCGTGTTATTTCTGTTGACACTGACGAAAATTGGATTGAATTGACAAATCCACAACTTTCTTTATAAATTCGTTATACCAAACTTCTGTTACAAATGCCCATAGGGCTCTTTTCACCATTGTCACTTAAATTTAGTTAGGTTTAAACTGCCAATTATTTTGATAAGTGTTTTGAGCCTTGAAGTCTAGAAAAATGTTCTAGATAGCTTAGAAGGGATTCTTTTAGACACCAAAGCAGTATGTATAACATCTGTATAATAAAAAAAAATGATTTGCAACTTAAGCAGCTTAAAAGTTAAATAATCTTGGTCTTTACCTGTTTTGAAAAAGGTTGCTATAAATAACTCTAGTTACAGAACGTACTTTGTTTCACTTTCAGTTGGGTATTTTGCCGCATCAGACAAAAATTAATGTTAAATAAGTGGTAAATAAACCACTATTCTCAATTTTTGGTTTTCACAATATGTTGTACTTAAATAAATTATTGTTTATATTTTTTATGTATATATTTACAACAATCCGTTGGCTTTTCTTATTCTTTAAATAGTAAATGTTTTTTTTATATTTCTTACTGTTATCTCTTCTTTTTAATACATATTTCAAATTTATAGTAATTCGAAACTAGCTTCTAATTGATTGTTGTGGCATTGGAGTTTATTTATTTATGATTAATTTTTGAATTAACGCGAAATGTGAGGTACTATTACAAATAAATATTTAAATATATACTTCTAAAAAATTTTAAAATGTAAGCGAAAGTAACAAATATTTTCTAATGTACATATTACCAAATGTATGGTATATTAAAAATTAAATGTATATACAAGGTGGTCCCGAGATAATATGCCAAAATTCATGGGTAGATTCTCTAAGCAAAAATATTGCAATATAGCCGATCTTACCTTAGTCCAAAAGTTGATAGTTAAAGAGATACAGGGTGTTAAATGTAAAATATTATTTTAGTTTATTTACATTTATTTCTTAATAAATGCAAATATCCACACAAAATTTTTGGGTTTGGGTTTCTTTGGGTAGAGGAATTGAAATATGTTCACATTTTGGTTATAGTTTGTAGCCCATTACCTCGGGACCACTCACCACATTTTCTTGTGAATGATAAAAATTCGTCTAACAAATCAATATCAATATTTAAATTAAAGATGAAAATAAATTTATTACACCTTTGTAATTTTACATAAATCTTCTACAGAGAAAATTATGGTATACCAATTTTATTAATTTTTTTCTTGTATCGTGTAGCAATATACCTAATTATCTCAAAATCATACTAATCTAAAAATCAATATATTTTTTCATAACTATTAAAATGCCTTTTAGAAAAGTATGAGTTGGGTACCTAAGCTATATTATTTATTTATTATTCTTGATATTTTTTATTTTAATGCTTTTGTTTATTAATCTTTATCCTGGTACATTATATTATCCTTCTAAACACACCTGCAATCGATAAACACTAAAAAAAGAAGTTGTAGCACTAAGCACGCTTAGATAGGAGTAGAAGGCACATAAGCATGAAATCACTATGCACATATAATAACTAATCTACAAATTGGGAAATATTCGTTTGAAGACATATCTTGATTAACCAGACTGGCAGCAAGTTCTTTTTTAGCACAAAAATTACTGGCTAATGTAAGTCGTCCTTAATTCCCATCGCAATTTTCATATAGATGAAGGATATTAAATAGTTCCAGTTAAAACGTTAAAAGCCACGAAAATGTGGACTGCTTAAGCACAGTCTGGCGTTTATAGAATGTAAATGCCTTAATTATAGAACTTGCCGAGCTAAATCCATAATTTTAACACATTTCAGGAAAGGCTATAAAATTGTCTTTTATATTTTTTCTTTTTAAAGGAATGCCGTTATTATCTATTAGTAGCTGTAAGAAAGACTTACGATATAAAATACGCCTTTAAATTCTTTTAAAAAGAAGAAAAATATAGTTAAAGTATACATATACATACACAAGTACATGTGGGTATTATAAAAAAATAATTTATCCCTAAATACTTTATTTTCTAATTAATTATTAAACTTAGTCACTTTTACATTCCACATATTATTATGCTATTTATAAGTAGACTTATATTTTTATAATTATAATTAAAAACTAGAGACTTTTCTGATTAATGACCCAATGTATCTACATTGCTATACTCATATAATGATATTATTAACTACAAAACAGCGAAACACAGGTAAAATTGTAAATATTTGCTTTTTTGAAAACATTTTTAAGCTTATTTTTCAATTTTGTTTCTATTTTTTTATAATTGCAGCAAGCATTTTTCAATTAATTTTCTTGTTTATAGGGACCACTTCGCAACATGCCTATCTCCGATTTTAGAAAGAAGAAGCTCTTGTACGTCTTCAATGTATTTTTTGGTAAGTAAACAATGTATAAATTATTAATTTGTTTCATTTCAAATCAAATTCTCGCAACTTTGACTATAACCAAAGAATTTAACTAGGAATTCTATTTCCAATTTATTTACAAAAAAATAATAATCATTTAAATCTGAAACTGAATCAACATATACTTGTAACCATGGAATGATTGTATAAATATATATTAGGTGTTAATTTTGTCTTGACATCACTGTAAATTAATTTATTACATCTACAACATTTTAATTTTTAAAGCAAACGCTTTTTATTCACGGAAAGAAGTTGTATCAAAAATTTACACAATTATTGACTACAGTTTATATAGAAAAAATGACTATACACATTATATATGTATAATGTTACAAACACAAGTCAAAATAAGTTAAAAATTTTAAGAATATTGTCATATAAGAACTTCTGTTCTCGAAATCTCCATTTCTGAAATGCAAAAATCAAGTTGTAAATCAAAAAAATTAAATGAAATTGTTGAGGAAATTGTAACTAGCATACCAAGGCACTGGTTTATTGTATGATTCTTTTCACGTCTAATTTCATTTTACTAATACATTACAAACAAAATTTTCTTTGAATATATTCTTTTGTTGGAACAATATTTAAATATATGTGTAACATTCTTTGCTTGATTGCTACTTTGATTGAAATATGAAATTAAATTTTTTAAAATGCTTGTAACTTTTAAACAAAAACGTATCGGATCTATGTTCATATAAGAAAAATTGTTTGAAATGAACTACCATCTGTCAAAGTTTGTCATAGAGCTTATAGAACACTCTGTATATCAAGGTACATGACGAGGTTGCCATGATGGAAAATGTAAATATTTCATATATAAATAATTGGGAAAACAAAATTGTCTTTATCTTATATATAAAATTCTCGTGTCACAATGTTCGTTCCCGTACTCCTCCGACACGGCTTGATCGATTCTCATGAAATTTTGTGAGCATATTGAGTAGGTCTGAGAATCGGCCAACATCTATTTTTCATACCCCTAAATGTTAAGGGTGGTCCACCCCAAAGTTTTTTTTTTGTTGTTTTTTGGACAAAATTTTATTTTTTTATTTTTTTTATGATGTGGCCTTAAAAAATACATACAATCCTAAATTTTCACCCTTCTACCATCAACCCTTATTTTTTAATAGCGATATTAGTAATTCAATAATTTTCAACCCCGGTCGATAACTGATCAATTATCACTTGATCATTTTTTTTATCCCCGCCAGGCGTCGACCGGTGTCACTTCTGACCCAGTAAACAGCACGGAGTAGGGATGAGATCTCTCTCACACAATGAGCCGTTTCTCACTCCCTACATTATTATTGTTTGTGCATCAACCATAATAATGACATTTACTATTACTATTAATAAAAAAATATACACGATATACACTGAATAACACTAAATATAATATAGATGGTAGAAGTGAAATTTCTTTATGAAAAATCTACTAAAATAATCCTAGGATTAATTTATATAAAACAACGTTTGCCGGGTCCTTCTAGTACAACTATAAATTAATGAATTTAATGAATATTTATCATCTGGAATAACCCTTACTATATATTGGTGACCCCGATGAAGAAATTTAGTAACCATCTGAATGATAGGAGTTTTAATCCTAGTCGAGACTGGTTGTTGCAGTTGAAAGCAATTTGAAATGGATTGAGTTTTATTATTATTTTTTTTCATTTATTCGGAAGATATTTAAGGATGTAGGTTTTTATTTTGAATACTTCAGTAACCTGTATTTAGAAAAAAATCAAAGTTATATATATTTTTTTAATTTTAACAAAGCCTAGTTAAAAAGAAAGTATTTATTTTTTTTGTAAATTAGATGCACACTAAAATAAAAAGGTATCTTTTGACAATTTTCTTTAAGTTTAGTCCAGTCTTGCTTATGTCTACTCCGCAGCAAAATATCTTTTAAGGTTTTGGGAATATAAAAATAATCACTGTAGACTTTAGATTCGTATCCAAACAGTGCTTAAATGTTGAAAAGACCGGCCCTTTTAGAGAAAAATTTGTGTCCACAATATGTACCTATGAGAGGATATATTTTTAATTTAAATCTTATTTAAATTTGAAACGGAATACTATGGTGTAACATTAAATTAACGTATCCCAATATCAGCAGTCATTGCCTGCTCAATGAATAAATTTCAAGGATGGTTAGCTTCAAATTTCGTGGTTAATATTTATTTTTCGCGCCGTAACTACAACAGGGGTTTACAACCCAGCAACGCCCAGACCTAGTTATTTGCCCCTAGCCCTGTATCATTCACGGGGATTGCGATTTTAAAGGTCTCGAGTCTTTCAGTCTTACCTTATCATTTCCTTTCAGACAAAGTTTCTCTTAAGTAATATTAATTTAGTGGATTACAACTGCTCAAACACAAAAAGAAAACTCGAAGGTAATTTAGTGACGAGTTCTTGTTTGCTCTATAATTCATTAATTGTTTGCCCGCGAAATTTTCCACATTAATCATTGAAAATAAGCGCCTTTCTTTTTTAGGGCATTAAAATCTGCCGTTTACGGCTCATAAACAACTCATTTAAAAATTAATTACGACTGACGGCTAAAGCCAGCTCGTTTATATGCTCGGAAGCGATTTTATGTAGGACGGAATATTTTTATCATTTAAACTGTAAAGAAATAAATAAAACTAGAAACTAATTGTCTATAAAAAAATTAATGAAGACATAAAAACTAGACAGGAAATTAATGAGGTATGTAAACCTACTTATAAATAGGTACACAATGTACAGGGTGTATTTAAATGATGGGGATCAAATTCTATTGATAGTCTTGAGACCAAAATTTGATAACTGGACCAAATATGCATTAGTTTGAAATTGCTTCGTTTGCAAGTTGCAGGCTATTTAAATTTTTGAAAATTGTCACAAATAAGCAAATGTCTAGAAAGAGTTTGATGTAAATAAATGTAGTTTGGATTGTCGGCATAATTGAATTAAGGTAAACATTTGCTGAATTTGTAAGCATTATATCATCCAGTGGAGATACCTGAAGACACCCTCATTAAGAATCATTCTCATCAGTATGCCACAGGTGGAAAAACCGACGAATGATCTACAAAATTCAATATTGGTAAGGACGTTAGAATAGTCATCCACAAACGTCATTAGTATAAAAGTTTATTTCGTCTAGTGCGGCTCTAGTTCTGCTATCATAGTCGCTACATACCAGTAGATCAATTCTAATTATACGTATAAAATAAGGCTTTCGCCCAGTAGACACTTACAACGAGTAGTAATGACAATTAAGGTTTTGTGGGTAAAATCTGACCCATAAGTTTATTTTAGGCTAAAAAAATAATAATTTATAAATGGCTTGTAATACAAATCAAATGAAGGATTTTTTTCTTTGAAATAAAATTGTAAATGAATCGAACTCACTAGAATTTCTAAAATATTCAAATTTTTCGAAATTTTGGAATTTTTAATGATATCTCCCATTATCTCGGCCACCGACTACTCGTAATACAATACGTGAACTTTTACCTTTATATAGTTCTGTTGATAGGCCAAATCTCATTCATATAAAGTACCAACTCTTAAAATGTTTAGGTACATACAGAGTGACCCATTTGAAAGCGGGCCACCCTCATAACATTTTTATTTATGGAGGGATTTTTACGAAATTTTTTTTGAAATGTAGAGGGGGGAAAAGTGTATTTTGGGGCCAAGCGCCGTCCAGTTCTTTTTTAAACTAAGGCCTACTAGATCACATTCAGAGGCTGAAAAATCCAGAATCCATATTAGCGATTTTTTTAGAAAAAATCTGCGTACGCCATTGGATTCGGCGTCCCCTGAAATGGATCTGTACCAAATTTCATGAAAAAATATTCAACATTAACGATTCTGCGGCTAAATTGCTGTCAAATTGTTTAATATGCATAAAGAAACTTTTTATCTAGTAACCCATGCCATAATAAATCAATCACAACAAATATTTAATAACACGTTTAATAGACATCATTATACCAAAATACAATGAAACAGACAGAAAAATGAACGAGAAATTAACATAAAATTTACAAAAAATACAATAAAATAAAATTAACACACATGAATTAAATTAAATTCTGGATTTTTCAACTAAATCTCCATTTAATTGAATGAATATTTTTGTAAATGTTGCCTCTCCTAGATTTTTTTTTATGGGGGTTCATTAAAGAAAAAGTTTACTACACTTGTCTAATGAATGCAGAAGATAGGCATGCGCTGAAATTACAACACATCAATTGTCTAATGTTATGGCACACATTCAAAAACAATACAATAAATGCATTCAATTAAATGAAGATTTAGTTGAAAATTCCAGAATTTAATTTAATTCATGTGTGTTAATTTTATTTTAGTGTATTTTTTGTAAATTTTTTGTTAATTTCTCGTTCATTTTTCTGTCTGTTTCATTGTATTTTGGTATAATGATGTCTATTAAATGTGTTATTAAATATTTGTTGTGATTGATTTATTATCGCATGGGTTACTAGATAAAAAGTTTCTTTATGCATAATAAACAATTTGACAGCAATTTAACCGCAGAAGCGTTAATGTTGAATATTTTTTCATGAAATTTGGTACAGATCCATTTCAGGGCACGCCGAATCCAGTGGCGTACGTAGATTTTTTCTAAAAAAATCGCTAATATGGATTCTGGATTTTTCAGCCTCTGAATGTGATCTAGTAGGCCTTAGTTTAAAAGAGAACTGGACGGCGCTTGGCCCCAAAATACACTTTTTCCCCCTCTACATTTCAAAAAAAAATTCGTTAAAATCGCTCCATAAATAAAAATGTTATGAGGGTGGCCCGCTTTCAAATGGGTCACTCTGTATAATGTTTTTCAGAAGTTATATGGTGTCTCAAAATTCACACAAGAAGTAATTTTGGTAGAAAACACAGGTTTTCAACTAAAAATAGTAGATTTTTTATTGATTTATAAAATATATGTTTAT